CTGGAACAAAAGCAAGACACTAATGTTAGCGAAGAGTCACACCGGAAAACTTCCCCGTTAACTAACCAAGTCATCCAGTATTCACTAAAAGGTTTTAGCAAGTTATTTAACAATAGCAATAAAATCAGATTAACACGTTTTCATTTAGACAACTGTCAATGACCCTAAGCTAAAACTACATATTGAACTACACATTCATACTTCAAGTGCACTTAATTGTTAGAGCAGGTTGAGTATATAGGCGCCTGTGACCGAGTCAATTCAATTTCTTTATGCACCCCATACCCATCTCGTGGGCGGTGGTGTAAAGGGTTACAGAGGCACATAATCGGTTCAGGAACTGAACCCTCTAGTTCGTTTAGCTAAGCTAATAACTCTTTTGACGCTAGTTACATAATTATTAATGTTATATATACATGTACACATACTCATACATACATGTGCATATAACTGAAAACTCACACCCCAGAAGTGACTCGATCCCATACTGCCAGCAGAGTGCTCCTGGCAGTATGGGTTCCGGTCACTTCTGGGGTGTGAGTTTCCAGTTGCATATAGTCCTGGGGACCATTCAGGCTTATTCACACATGTACATATATATACATTAACATATATACATACACATACATATTTAATCAGTAGGCAAGGACACTGCAGCGCCATCTTAGCAAGTTTCCGTGTCTAGAGTGGGCACAAGTATGCCCCTGATGTGTGAGGAGAGAGAGAGGACTCACTGGGGCAGTGATGGTGGTGTTCCACACCTGTGGTGTAACAGTACACTCACCGGGGCAGTGATGGTGGTGGTCCACACCTGTGGTGTAACAGTACACTCACCGTGGTAGTGATGGTGGTGTTCCACACCTGTGGTGTAACAGTACACTCACCGGGGCAGTGATGGTGGTGGTCCACACCTGTGGTGTAACAGTACACTCACCGGGGCAGTGATGGTGGTGGTCCACACCTGTGGTGTAACAGTACACTCACCGGAGCAGTGATGGTGGTGTTCCACACCTGTGGTGTAACAGTACACTCACCGGGGCAGTGATGGCGGTGTTCCACACCTGTGGTGTAACAGTACACTCACCGGGGCAGTGATGGCGGTGTTCCACACCTGTGGTGTAACAGTACACTCACCGGGGCAGTGATGGTGGTGTTCCACACCTGTGGTGTAACAGTACACTCACTGGGGCAGTGATGGTGGTGTTCCACACCTGTGGTGTAACAGTACACTCACCGGGGCAGTGATGGTGGTGTTCCACACCTGTGGTGTAACAGTACACTCACCGGGGCAGTGATGGCGGTGTTCCACACCTGTGGTGTAACAGTACACTCACCGGGGCAGTGATGGCGGTGTTCCACACCTGTGGTGTAACAGTACACTCACCGGGGCAGTGATGGCGGTGTTCCACACCTGTGGTGTAACAGTACACTCACCGGGGCAGTGATGGCGGTGTTCCACACCTGTGGTGTAACAGTACACTCACCGGGGCAGTGATGGCGGTGTTCCACACCTGTGGTGTAACAGTACACTCGCCGGGGCAGTGATGGCGGTGTTCCACACCTGTGGTGTAACAGTACACTCACCGGGGTTGTGATGGTGGTGGTCCACACCTGTGGTGTAACAGTACACTCACCGGGGTAGTGATGGTGGTGTTCCACACCTGTGGTGTAACAGTACACTCACCGGGGTTGTGATGGTGGTGTTCCACACCTGTGGTGTAACAGTACACTCACCGGGGTTGTGATGGTGGTGTTCCACACCTGTGGTGTAACAGTACACTCACCGTGGTAGTGATGGTGGTGTTCCACACCTGTGGTGTAACAGTACACTCACCGGGGCAGTGATGGTGGTGTTCCACACCTGTGGTGTAACAGTACACTCACCGGGGCAGTGATGGTGGTGTTCCACACCTGTGGTGTAACAGTACACTTAGGCAAGTTTAGAGAAAGTAGTGACCGAGGCCGTCTTGGTGAAACCACCAGAGAGAGAGATGCCTGTAGCCAAGTCTGAGGCTGGGACAACGTCTCTTAGTCTGCTGATGCTGTTACTTGTCCCATACACATGTTTTACTTGACACATGTCATTGTCAGACACAATGGACCTGCTAGCTCCAGTCTGCACTGTTCTGCTTTCTTTAAATCCATCCAGGAGTGTCTTAAAAGTGTCTAATGACACTTTTAAGGGAACTATTTGATAACTCAAGATTCCCGTCAACACTTTATTTACTGTAACCTTAGCAAGGGCGTCAACTTTATCATGTTCCTGCAGGCCAATGTCAGAAGGAAGGAATTATCAGGAGAAAGCGTCAAGCCATTACGACTACATAGCATTTGGTAGGGACCAGGACAAGGATTTGGGATGGGGGGGGGGGGAGGGTAGTGTACAGGTGTCTGGGGGGTTATTATGGCGTCTCTGGGGTGAGTGTGTGGAGTGTACAGGTGTCTGGAGCAGAGTATGAGGTCTGTGGTGGAGGGTACAGGTGTCTGGGGCAGAGTATGAGGTCTGTGGTGGAGTGTACAGGTGTCTGGGGCAGTGTATGAGGTCTGTGGTGGAGTGTACAGGTGTCTGGGGCAGAGTATGAGGTCTGTGGTGGAGTGTACAGGTGTCTGGGGCAGAGTATGAGGTCTGTGGTGGAGTGTACAGGTGTCTGGAGCAGAGTATGAGGTCTGGGGTGGCGTGTACAGGTGTCTGGAGCAGAGTATGAGGTCTGTGGTGGAGGGTACAGGTGTCTGGGGCAGAGTATGAGGTCTGTGGTGGAGTGTACAGGTGTCTGGGGCAGTGTATGAGGTCTGTGGTGGAGTGTACAGGTGTCTGGGGCAGAGTATGAGGTCTGTGGTGGAGTGTACAGGTGTCTGGGGCAGAGTATGAGGTCTGTGGTGGAGTGTACAGGTGTCTGGAGCAGAGTATGAGGTCTGGGGTGGCGTGTACAGGTGTCTGGAGCAGAGTATGAGGTCTGTGGTGGAGTGTACAGGTGTCTGGGGCAGTGTATGAGGTCTGTGGTGGAGTGTACAGGTGTCTGGAGCAGAGTATGAGGTCTGTGGTGGAGGGTACAGGTGTCTGGCAGGTGTCTGGGGTCCTCACAGCGACCTTCTGGTGTCCAAGTCCCAAGGAGAGGACAACGCAGGAGCGACTTTAGTAACAGGTAAAACTAGTTACGGGAGTTGAAAACCTGGACACGTTTGATGTTAACTCTTGGAGGGGAGGATGGCTGTGTGTGTGGGGGGGGGGAGGGGGCGGCACGGGGAGTAGCACTTTATGCCCCCCTCTACTAGCCCTGTACCTGTTCCGTTTCTACCAACTCTGACTTAAAGATTCTTTGTCGAATCTGGCCTTAAAGTTGTGGATGGAGGTGGCTTTCAAACCTTCCTCCTTCAGGACATTCCATTTGCTGACCACCCGTACAGGGTACCTTACCTTGCGGTGGTTTCGGGACTCAACGTCCCCGCGGCCCGGTTCTCGACCAAGCCTTTTCAGCTTTCGTCGACACTTTGCCATTTCAAGAAACACCGATCTTATCATTATCTTTTTGTTCGGTTTAAAGAGGCTGCCCTTATCCACCTTGTCTATTGCCCTCAGTATTGTTTATGTAGTGATCATATTCCCTTTTGTTTCGCCTCTCATAGCTCTTCAACTTTCGTTATGGGTTCCACGAAATGTAATTTAATTCCTTTACTTCATATTCCAGTATTGGTCTTATTTAGATCTGAATGAGTTACTTTACGAGGAAGTGTCTCATTAATGGTACAAGTGGATGGATAACTTTCCACGTTGAAACTACTTACACACAAGGTGCAACTAACACACTACTTACTGTATGCTATGGCAATACACAGCACAACACGGGGAAGTAGTGGGGCAGACCAGCTTACTAATGAAGTTGTACAAACCGTCAGTTTAACGACAAAGCCGCCATGATTAAGGACAAATGTACAGGTTTCGTAAATGTTTGGCGAATCCAGGAATACCTGGGCCTGAAATAGTGTTCCCAGAGATCCGTGGAGTGTGATTAGGGAGCTAGGAATAGTTACACAACGTATTTGAGTGGTATTTGGTGTTGAGGGACAGCTTGGTAGCAAGTGACGGACTCAACGTTGGTGTCCAGCGGTACCAAGAGACTCCTCCCTCTGCCCCAGGGCACTACGGTGCACTCTTATAAGTTATAACAGTGAAACACTTACTTTGAGAGATGGGTATTGTGGCACGCGGTACACATCCCTCTTTATACGCTTGTGAGGACAATATGCTTAAGGGCACACACACACACGCACGCAAGCACACTGAAATGTGTGAGACATATTTGTGTGAAGTGTTTGGATATTCGTTCAGATATGCGAGTAATTGTCTAATTTTGGGATCTCGTTATCTTGCCCTTTTAGCAAACTGTCACTGCATGTTATCTCTATAATCCAGCGAGGCTTATAATGTTACAAAGGTCAAAAACCACTTGAGGATAATTGTGCCCCCCCCCCCCCCTCGGCTAATCAGGCTTACCCGACTACAGCTGAAAAGCGTCTTGGCTTGTTAATGTCCCGCTCTCTAATTCTCCGTTCTATTTCTACGTCATCTAAAGAATGCAAAATCCTATTGGTTCATTAGACTTTATAACGTAATTACTTGTCGCCAAGTTCAGGTGGTTATCTTGAGGTTATCTTGAGATGATTTCGAGGCTTTAGTGTCCCCGCGGCCCGGTCCTCGACCAGGCCTCCACCCCCAGGAAGCAGCCCGTGACAGCTGACTAACACCCAGGTACCTATTTTACTGCTAGGTAACAGGGGCATAGGGTGAAAGAAACTCTGCCCATTGTTTCTCGTCGGTGCCTGGGATCGAACCCAGGACCACAGGATCACAAGTCCAGCGTGCTGTTCGCTCGGCTGGTAAAATAGGTACCTGGGTGTTAGTCAGCTGTCACGGGCTGCTTCCTGGGGGTGGAGGCCTGGTCGAGGACCGGGCAGCGGGGACACTAAAGCCTCGAAATCATCTCAAGATAACCTCAAGATAG